TCTTCAATAAATTCTTCGATACGTAGCCATCTCTTTGTCGTAATATTGTCCGCTGACGCGATTGCATCATGCGCGCGTGCGTTTAAAATTCCGCGCGCTAAATGAGTTTCTGTGGCGGCACTTTGAAAATAGTTCTGTTCGTTTGTTCAACGTCCTATCTTTGTGAGATTTAATTATATAAAACTTCTCCTCTAAGCAAAGGTTGCAAGAATTTGCACCTGCTGTATAGGCTGATGCATGCGATAAAACCGACCACTTTATAGTATACGGTCGGTTACTTTGTTTTAGCTTCCATGCGTACTTAGAAAGTTCGGTTTCGTTTGAATAGCGAGGTGAGTTGATGGATTTCTTGTGGTTGGCGTATCTTGCTTTAAACCTCCCTGCTGTCATACCAATATACTCTTTCGTTTTTTACTCATTTAGCGCGCGGAATTTTAAACGCACGCGCGCATGATGCAATCGCGTCAGCGGACCGTTGAATGAATGGCGCAAGCAAACTATTTAGAGTAGTATCGCCTGAAGATCGCTTTGAAAGCGTGAAACACTGTGTAGCGATTAATAAAATTTTAAGATTATAATTAGTATATATATATATATATATATATATACAGCTAATTCAAAAAAGGTTGTCCTTTGCAAACCTTAAACTCTAAACCTTAAACCTTAAACTCTAAGCGCGCATAGCATAATGGGAGCACAAATTTCAAGCTTAGCAGTTGTATATTGCGGCTGTTTGTGAGTGAAATGTTTTCGCAGGGAGATGTTTACCATGTCTCTGAGAAATGGGCTCCATATATGCTTTCTAAACTGCTTAAATCGTGCTCCCATTACGCTTTGCGCGCTTAGAGTTTAAGGTTTAAGGTTTTAAAGTTTAAGGTTTGCAAAGGACAACCTTTATTGAATTAGCTATATATATATACAGTATATATATATATATATATATATATATATATATATATATATATATATATATATATATATATATATATATATATATATATATATATATATATAGCGAAAATACAACAGTTTTATCAGTGTTTAAAATCAAATCTGACATCTTGTGACTTGTCACTTATGGCAGTTATGCTGAAAAAGCCCGCTCGTGTCAGTTCTTTATCGCAATCTGTGCGAAAAAGTGAGTACGTACCAATGTTTGTTTCCAAAGGCACAATCACATAGGCCATAGGGATTTCTCGAATTCTCGATGATATTCACGACTTATACGCTATAGTCAAGACATGTGTTTTTACCCTGTTTAAATTAATTAATGAATTCATTCATTATTCACATGTTAAAATTAAAAAAAAACTAAATTATTCTGTACTTGTTACTTTGCAGCTTTCCAACGACGAAGAATTGAGAAAGTTTGTGGATAGTCTATTTCCTGAAAAGGTCAATATAATAACAACTCGTGCATGAATATATATTTTAAATGAACATGTTTTGACACAGTCTTACGGGTTTTTCTAGGTTGCTCATTCTTATGTCATCCGTGACCTTGAGGAGTATCGAGAACTTATCCAAAAACATGATCAACTGGTTTTGAAGCTTGAGCATGCGCAGGTAAAAAGTCACATTGTCATCGTAAAGAACATGTCATGCATATGCTCATGCATATGCTCATACGCGCATGCGCAGGGAATTCTTTTTTGAAAATTAACACGGTATTTCATTAACAAAATTGGTAACAAATAAACCGGTGGTTTTTCCAAATTCCAAAGTGCTGCCTAGAATTAACAATGATGAACATGCAAAAAAAGCTTATTGTTAGTTTACAAACTGTGCGTAGTGTCAGAGATTCAAAATTTCCTCTTGGGGGCATTCCCCCGAACCCCTGTAGTAGATTTAGCCCCACATCCCGTTGCACTATTATATTCTTTCGAAAGAAACATGCAACAGCTCCTTGAACGTATTCACGTTAATTTTAAACTGAACATGCGTAGAAAGTACTTGCTGATGTGTACGCAATATTAATGAGGAAAACTCGTTGAAATGAATATAACCATCAGATAAACCGCCTATTTCTTGAAGCCAAATCTGACATGGAGGTCAAGACGCGTGTTCATGTCATGATTCACTGATTGACCGCTCTTCGCATGCATGAAGAGACTGGTACTGCCTTCAAGTTTGGCTTCAAATTTTCTGTTGGAAGGTAGCGTTCCAATTATTTTCTCTTCAATGGGAAAACTAATGAATTATTTCAAGATATAGTCGGCAAAGTTTTGATTTATTGGTGGAATTTAGAGATAAATAAAAGGTTAAAGGCCCAAGAAAAACTGTTAGCTGACTCAAGCATAATTAAGAACTATCGAGATAAAGCAAAACAAAAAGCGCGGGAAAATCCTTGAGTAAGCCCACAATGTCGTGCCATAAACGCTCAGCGACACGACCATTTTTCTATGCAATTTCCGGTCGTGTAACGTAAAACGTAATTTAATCCATTGACATTCATATAATTGGAACGCTACCTCCAACCAGAAATTTGAAGCCAAACTTGAAGGCAGTCCCAGTCTTTCATGCATGCGAAGAGCTGCCTCCTCCGCAGGCACTCGTTGTGTCATGGAAAGGTCACGATTTCGAGAGAGCCTGCGGAATCTTGTAAAATGAATAAATGTTGTTTTGAACCTGCTTCGTTAAAGAAAGCAGTTTTATTCGTGCAACGTTTGTGGGGGGCAACAAATCTTATCGTTAAAAAATGCTTCCTTCCATGTCCTTAGAGTCGCCATTTTAATTTACAAGTTTCACGCCGCTTTTTATAGCCTGTTTATATTCAAGATTGTGTAGAAATTTATTTGCTGACGTGACGTCGACGCCATTTTTTTTTACAAGATACCGCAGGCCCTTGCCAGATTGTGTGTGACCTTCCCATGACGCAACGAGGGCCTGCGGAGGAGGCATGGCGAAGAGCGCTCAATCAGTCAATCATGATATAAACACGCGTGGTCTTACAGGTAGACTTGCACGCGTGCCTGGAGCTAGACACGCGTGTCTGCAGGTACGATTTGGCTTGAGAAAAAGATTTTTCTGAAGGTAGCATTCCAGTTATATTCATTTCAATGATTTAACCCTACCCCACGACAACGTCTTCGCTATGTCCTTGGCTATAGAATGTCCATTTAAACCATACACTGTGTCGCTAACACATTGTACAGCAAATTTGTGAATGTTACCACTTTTCAGGCGGTATTTGAAGAGAAAGGGGAACGTCCAGAACATAAATTGAAACCAATCATTGGCGAGAAAGTGGACTCGATCAATCATTGTGATGAAGAACTTAGGGTAAGGTATTAATTTATCTTATATTAACTTATATATATATATACGATGATTGAAGGTACATTTTTCACTCAATTAGCTTTTCTACACGCAATAGTAAAATTCTTACACACAGTTTGTTTTCCGCTTGTTGCATACAATACCTGTTAACTTGTATGAGAAAAACCTCGTGCATTGAAAATTTTGTATACTGAATACGTTAATTGTAGTTTAGTTTTTATTTGGGAATTTCACACGCAAAATTGTTTTTAATAAGGCGGGCAAAATACAAAAAAGTCGGGCGAATTTCTTTGTGCCCCCAATTTCCGGCTGCATTTCCAATTTCTACCCCGTACGCCTATGCCGAAAACGATTCATGAACTATTAAAATTTGTATTTTTGCATCTCAGCCACACAATTACAAGTTGAGAGAATAAAATATTTTTTCTGTACTATGATGCTTCAATAAAATGTACTCATTGAGATCCAACTGGGAGGAGTTAAATTGTAGAGACATCGTCGAATTGCCAAAAGGAGAAATGATTAGTGAAGTATACAGCTACAAGTGCAATTAACTCGTAAATCTTCAATTAATTCAAATTTAAAATTCTATTTCACACTTTTCCTAGTTTAGTGGTTATATATATATATATATATATATATATATATATATATATATATATATATATATATATATATATATATATATAAATAATTAATTAATTACAACAAAGAAAGTAAATATATTTCAGGAAGGTATATATATATAGCATATACGATGGACAAGAATATATATATATATAATTAATTAATTACAACAAAGAAAGTAAATATATTTCAGGAAGGTATATATATATAGCATATACGATGGACAAGAAATAGCAATACCTTTCGAGTTGACCATCTTATGTACCTCTGGAAAATATATCGGCTATGCAATTAAATCTTTTCAATTACAGGGGACACAAACTGAATTGGATACTGCAAAGAATGCAGAACCGGAGTTGACAAATGCTGCAATTGTTACTTTCAAAACTCTTCGCGATGCAAAAATTGCAAGTCAAGTATTGTGGCAAGCTAAACCTTACAACACATTTGTTGAACCTGCCCCAGAACCGAAGGACATTATATGGGCTAACTTGACTAATTCAGTGCTTAACAAGTATGTGATAGTTTCTCTTATATTTCTGAGTAGCAATGAATTATAAAAGTACAATATTCTATATATGGGTCTTTGTTATAGACGATTAACTAAGTTTATAAATGGCAACTAAAATTAGAAATTTTTATGATCTAAACAGTACAAAAATTATAGCCAATATTGTTAATATGCATGTTCGTTCATGCTGGTTTCTGGGTTGCTTGAAGATTTCACCCTGCAACATATCAACTAATGCTTAATAGCGCTATGCATGTTAATTAAGTGAAACGCAAATTAGAACGCGCACATTTGCATACTTATAGACTATAGTTATAGTTATTAGCACTGATGAAGATCCGGGCTTACGGATCGAAAGCTTTGCAGTAATAAATTTACGTGGTGTTTCCACAAACAAAACTATTATATGTTTTATCGCCATGCAAACATACAAAGAACTTATAGTTATACAGTATATATATACAGAGATAGGAATACTGATTACTTATTTTAGCAAGTACGATAAACTGATGCTCGAATGCGACTGATCTACAGTACATCTATATTATACGTATTGTTATAAGCTGGATTTCCACTTGCAAGAAAAATTTCTCTGTTGAAGAAAAATTTCTCTGTTGAAATTTTTCGCTCAATTTCTTTTGAATTTTGAGCGGTCAAGTAGAACTGATTTATTTGGATGGTCAAAATTCAAAAGAAATCAGGCGAAATATTTCGACGATGAAACACTTCATCGAAAACACAAGTGGAAATCCACCTAAGTAGGCTAAGTACTTTATTAAATACATTTATGTTCCAGATGGATTCGTTGGACCATTATTTCAATCTTTCTCTTCTTCCTTGTCATTTTCTGGATGATTCCCGTCGGAATTGTTTCTTCACTGGTTTCTCTCCAGAGTCTTCAAGAAAAGGTCGAATTTTTGGAATTTGGTAAGACAAAAAATAAAAGCCAATACCATTCTCCACTACATAAGGCATGTATGGCATGGGTGACCTCAAAGCCTTACATGGTGGATCGTTTAGTACAGTTACATTAGATAATTTAGCAGAGTTTAAAAAGGAGATATCGAACCAAGACAATTTAAAGAAAAAGAAGAAAAACCATAGAATAAATCGGCATATTGAAAACATGCTTTTTATTGTTTCTTTTCAGTCAATGATTTTCCTGAAGCGGTGAAAGGAATTATTGAAGGTGTTCTTTCTACCATTGCCTTGGTCATCTTCTTTGCAATTCTTCCAATGGTAAACATGGCTGAAGAATATATATACATAAAAAAATAAAAAACATTTATTTACAAGGCATTCAAATATTTTTCTTTGTTTCCCTAGTTGCTTGCATTCATGTCTAAGAAAGAAGGGGTCATGACAAATAGTGGAGTACAGAAATCTGTGATTGGAAAGATGTTTATCTTTACGGTATATAATATAATTTTCTGATGAATTTTAATTGACAGTAAAAGAATACTTGTATATGTATTTACTTGAAATGAGCTCTAGCATTCTCTTGTATAAAGATGAGTGGCATAAATGTGATCACGGATAATTAATATTTTAACTTACGAATTATCCAATGTTCTGTGTTTTATTATAATTGCTATTATAAGCCAAATGCTTTAATCGTACTTGTATAGATTGTCAACAAATTTCTGATGTTGGTTTTGGCTGGTGCGTTTTTGAATCAGATCACGGATGTTATTGATGATCCAGGCTCATTGCCCTCGTTGTTGGCTGAATCTCTGCCAGCCATGGCATTGTTTTTCACTAACTTTGCCATGTTGCAATCCTTGATGGGACACGCTTTACGCTTACTTCGTATTGGACCTCTGATTGTCATTCATATCAAGAGAAAATGGTAAGTGTGTCTCAATCAACTTTACCAAAAATTTAATTGCATGCCCTTCCGGAAAGTACGCCATCTTGGCTGTAGAGCCTCGTTTTCGTGTATGTGAGATTAGTTAAAGCCTAACGTCTCGATCACGAAAACGAGGCTCTATAGCCAAAATGACGTACTTTCTGGAAGGGTATATTCTTACATTTTTATTTATTTATTTATTTATTAAACTTCGCCACTTACAACAAACAAGTGGCAGGGACACTACAACAGTATACACCAATTACTGTGGGCCCTTTAAAAATTGCTAAATTTTAAGAATACAACACAAAACAACATATCGCAAAACAAAACTACATCGCACAGAACAAAATTGAACATTATGCAATGCAATGCAGTACAATGCAGTATAATGCAGTGCAATGCAATGCAATACATAGCAAAGACAGGATTCAACTTCCACCGCCACTATTGCCACCAACAATATTATTATAGTTTATCGAGCTAACCAATTACATGCACATCAGGTCAGCGAGAGGTAGCGGTAGTGGCGGCGAAAGCCAAATCCCAAACTCGCTAAAAACAAACATTTAAACTTATAGTGGTGGTGTACTTGTGGGGTACTTGCTAATAATCCTTAATTGCAACTGGGAGCTAAGATGAATCAACTTGATCGAGTCGAAGGCTTTCTAAGGGCTCCTCTGGCAGCCATCTTATGAGTCAGTCTGATCACAGAGCACAGCTACAATGGAAGGGTCATTTAGGGGCTAATCTAAACCCACCCTGTCAACATTCTCTGCGGCAGGAAACCGGAGTACCCAGAGAAAGCCCATGACGTTCGGTTGACCAACTCTTTTCACATAAGTGTCATTAGTCCGATGTGAGGATCGAAAAATAGTTTTTGTTAGTAACGTTTGGCCACATCCAATATTGTAAATAAATGTTCACTTGTTATGTTTACAACCCAGGTTAGCCAAGACCGCGAGAGAATTGAAGAATGTCTGGGCACCACCTTGTCCTAACTACGGTGTTATGGTAGGTTCATTAGCTTTCCAGTTTTTTTTGTTTTCGGATCTAAAGAAATTTTGATTAGTTCGTTACAATTTGTATTGTATGGGCACCGTTTTAAACAAATTACATTGTAAGCTGTAATTGTAGTTTGAGATTATTTCTTGTTTTTACTTCGATTCAAACACCATATTACACCGTATTTCTTTTAAAAGTAAGAAAGTTAAAATTATCAGTCAGATCTCTATCACGTTAACCTCGTTAGACGTTAAAAAAATATAGATTTTACTAGACATGCTAACTTTATTTATTAGACATGCTAACTTTAGAACTGTCTAAGTGTACGCCAATATATGCCTACCGCAACTGTTTTCCACGAAGGTCGTGCTTGAAAAGTTATCGTCACACGCATATTACATCTAAACGTTTAAGATTAATGTTATTTCAGATAAATACATATTCTGATATATATCGTAACAAAACATTCTGTCTACTTTTACCACTTCACACCTTCTAACTGAAAAGTGCAGGCTACAATGATGGCAAAAATTCCATGGACATGCACTTAAATGTAAATTAAACTAAAGTATTACTGTACAAATACACATGTTGTTCTTCTCTCCCTACAATGTTGATTTTGACATGCATTTGACCAATTTATAAGCTTTCAACATTGAACGGGGCACGTATATATTGGGCAAGGCATATATTTCTATATTTTTTGCCAGAATTGTAGGTAAAAGAATGTAACATCATCCTTGCTGGTATATAGGGAATCAATTGTTTTCTTTTTTAAGGTTCCAAATGATCTCTACATATTCGTTATTGGTGTCGCTTACTGTATCCAAGCTCCATATGTTATTCCATTCATCATGTTGTACTTTGGATTTGGTTATATCGTTCATTTCTACTCTATGGTGTATGTCATGCGACCTCCGTTCCACTCAGGTGGTAGAATGTGGCCCAAAACATTTAACAGGTAAGCATAAAGCCAGTTTTCCACTTCAATTGTATCGTACCGAAACGTAGCGTATTTCTTTGTTTCCTGAGCGGTAGTGTGGAACTAATGACTTCGACACAAAAGAAAATGCTACGTTACGATACGATTGAAGTGGAAAACAGGCATAACGCTGCAATTCAAGAATGCCATAAAATTATGGGTATAAGACATGTAGCTTTACTTGTTACTTTTATTAACCAATTTGTTTTCGAAATCACTCATTTAATTGCATCTGTAACATGTAAATGCATGCATTTTTCATGCATTACTGGGTCTGTATGTTTTAGACAGAATTTAATAAACCTATCCAGCATAAAAGTATGTTTAGTGTTGGTTAGTTTAATTCTATTTGTACAATTTGAAAATCAAAAATAGTCGGCGTTCACCAATGGTCTAAGATTTATCAAATGAGCTTTTATTTAACAAATAGATAAGATTTTGCCGTTGTCTGTTCAGTTATAGATACACAGTATGACGTCCAAACATTTGGAAATTTGAAAAAGTAGAAATTCTACATTGTGCATAATTATTGGCTACCTTAATTGTGACGTTATTCCGTGCGTCTGTCCTCTAATAGATCATGGCTCTTGACCAATGAAAGCGCTTGAATTCTTAACGTTATTATATAAATAAACTTGTTCTGTTACATGTGATTTTCGTTGGACTAATCATAGCGTACAATGCAACGCTATTACTTGCGCCGCCAGACTGAAAGCGAGCATTATACTCTACACACTGAAAGCAGTCTCTTAAATGAAGAGAGTGTAAAAATCTATTGTTATTTCTTATTCTCAAGGATGCTGTTGATCATCGTAGTTTTCCAAGTGTTGATGATTGGAGTATTTGGTTTAAAAAAGAACGCTGTAGTCTCAGCTTTATCCTTACCACCACTTTTCTTCACGATCATCTTCAAGATCGTGATTATGCTGTATTTTGAACGCGTGTCTAAACCTATGGAACTGGACAAGGAAGAAGAAAAATCCGAAAAAGCTGAAGAGAAAGTACAGGAGGAAGCTGATGAAGAATACTTGCAGGTAAAAATCCTTGTATTGTTAATTTAGCGAGTTTCTCGCTCATTGGTGAGCAGATGTCCTACTTATACATTCACATATGATTGAAAATTGAAACAAGCGAGCAAGTTCCTTGGTAATTCCTAATAACTAATATATGTTCTGTGGCAGGCTGCTCATAACTGCTTCGTTGCTACCACTACTGTCCCTGGTCTATTCCTGTTGAGTACTGATGATCCATCTGAAAGCAATGGACCAACAAATGAAGACAAAGCAGACATCCAAGGAAGTTCTGGTGCCAAAGATCAGGAAACTACAAAGTTAGTTGAAGCAGATAGTCCCCAGGAAACTACCCCTATGTAGGCATGCATGTCATCAGTTCGGTTTTAACTGCTTGTTCTATTATAACGAAAGAGTTCTTTATTAGCTTGTGTATTATGGTAGTCATCTATATGATTCTGTTGTTCTATATAGTTCCACGATTTACGAGGTTATTTTAAGGGTGGCATTAGCATAGATTCTCTTAATTACCAAGCAGCTGGATTTTAGTACCAAAAACGTCTGGATTATAATACTGTTAAAAACTACGTATTTATATAGTTCATAACCTTATGATGTATATGATTAGGGTATATCTGTGTGATGTAAAAATGGATGCATTTTGTTTGAGATATGAATAGTGCTTTTGTTTACTTTGACTGATTCCTCGTCACACTGTTCATATGCATTCACATCCCCGATCTTCTGTCATCATTATATTTCCATCATGTTTATTTTTAGTGATCTACATGCAAATTCTGTTGAGGATGCAGATCTTTAGCGCAGTATTGCTATCAATGTGGAACATACGTGCAGAATGAACTTTATATTTTTCAAATATCCACCATTTTGCACTGTCCTGCACGGCTGCACGTATAGCATGATTACGTTACCTTTAAGAAGATTAAGATGGTGTATACAAGAGAGAAAGGCTTTGGGGGGATGGAAAATTTGTGTTTTAAGAAAAATAAATATCGCAATGTGCTTTCGAATTCTTCAATGCGAAAGGAAGGTGAAAAACACCATAACATATATGTATGCTGCAACACGCAAACCAAACTCTAAGTAAACTTGATGTTTTGCATGGGATAAACGTTTTTCTCTTCATTTATCTCATCTTAATCTTCTGAGGTTATATTCGTATTTAAATTTCCAAGTTAAAGAAACTTGATTTCGTTTTATTTTCTTCAAAAGGTTAACAATATATTCGCATATACCCATTATATTTTAGTCATCATATTATTTGTATAACTAATACATACACTAATTATTAATTATTATGTATAGGATAATGCCCAAGCTCGAGGTATTATTAAAAATAATGACCGAGCGCGTAGCGCGAGGTCATTATTTTTAATAATACCGAGAGCGAGGGTATTATCCGACTTAATGCACATTATGGTGTTTATGAACAAAGAAAACTATTAAGATAGTTACAAGTTCATTGTTGTGGTACTATTATTTTTCACACCATATTTGTGTTTTGTATGCGCATTCCTGGGCTGTGTTTTTTCAACAGCTACCTTTTTATTACTTGATTGATATTTGTGGAGTGAGGATGTCTGGTTCGAGAAAGCGAGATTTTAGTTTGTTTGGAGAAGGATATGACGATGAATTTGAAGTTGAAAAGACCAATGATTGGGATTGCGACTGTCTAGATTTGGAAGACGATGGGCTGGATGGAATACTTTCCCAGTCATTGGATTTGTTTGCAGAGCGGAGAATTTCACTGGAAAGGCCAAATCAGATAGACAGTGTCAGTGAGCGGCGATGTAATGCACCTGGGAAAAGCACGTTGGATAGAAAAGGTGAAAATTGTCTTAGCTAAGTTTTGTTTAAAAGTTAGTAACAAGCATTAATCATAGCGATTAATATTTGAATTTATTTATATTTTGCAATAGAGCAACAGAATACGTCTGACCGGTTTGAGATTTGCAGCAGTAAAAGTATGATAGAGTTGGCTTCGCGAAGCATCCCAGAAAATACTAAGAGGAAAGCGATGTGGGCATACAGAATGTTCGACGCTTGGTCACAATGGCGCCAGGAGATCTCTCAAGATGGAAGGGAAATGCGTTTGGTTGATAAAATTCTCTTGGTTTACAAGTCAGAAATACATATGATGCCAGAAGTTGACCTCAACGAAGTATTACATCAGTTCATCGCAGAAGTAAGAAAAGACGGTGGAGAAAGGTATCCTGGAAAAACACTGTATGAAATAATCAATAGTTAATAAGCCCTAGTTTTTTAAAACTTTATACGTTGTAGTTAAATTAAAATGGAAATTTTTGTAGTGTAATTAAAATTTGCTTTAAAGCAAAGTTGTAACGCACAATGGTTTATTTTTTATTCAAGCGAAAAATCGGGGTCATTATTTTAAATATTGGAGGTCATTATTAAAAATAATAACCTCCTGACATTAAATAATGACGTTGCATTAACTTGCGCATGTCGATTCTTGAAAATAATAACCTGTTCAAAACAATGAAAATGTGCATTAATGTCAAATAATGAACTGTTCGACATAATGTTAAATCATATAATGATTGACACATATTGTCAAATTATTTGATAATTGTACTAATATTTAGCACAAATACTAATAATGATAACAATATATAAAACACAATAATATAATCAAAAATTACATTGGAATTAAACGAAATAAATAATATACACCAGTGTTACGGTGTTATCAACAGGTTCTAACTTATTAATACATGTATACCAGTTTATTATATGAATACTGGTGTGTGATCCGTAATTTTGTGGTGGAATAATCTTGATTTCATGAAGTATTGAGAGAAGTTTCGAAATTAAATAACAAAGCCAAAGAATTTTTTTCACAAAATATATATTACAAAGAATCATTCAATTTTCGAATCATGTTTTTTATAAATTGAGGTAAGAAGGTTACACATATATTAGATAATGTGAAATAAACGTCCGACGATATATTTCAAACAATGCATATAAAAATATCGAAATTAAAGAAAGTTAAGTGTGTTTAAATATTGTTCCTACTGCGCATGTCCGCTATAGATAGCCTATACTTATAACTGTACCCCCACAGTTCTAGAAGTTCGTATGATAGTTTACAAACCAATCTGGAGGTCGTCGTTCCCGCTGTGGTAAGGTTGCTCTTTATGGCCTTCGCTATTTTGTTGAACCACGTCGTCTTCAACTGGAGGGGTGACTATAACCGCCTCAGTAGTTTCCGCCAACTCGTTCTCTCGTTTCTGAGGATTTTCCGTGTAAGCATACGCCGTTTCAGGTTTTCTTGATTGTGGTGGACAATTCGTCTCCTGATGTTAACTTTTTCGTTTCCTTCATACTTTATCCGGTACACGACTTCTCCCATCGGTTTGATTATTTCCACGGTCTGTCCAGGGCCTATTTAATTTCATGCATCTTCCCCTTCTAGTTTTCTTATCTAACCACAGCAAAAGATCCACTTCCTTGAAAACGTTAGTTCTTGCCCATCGATGATAGAAATCTTTTTGGGCGCATGGTCTGTAGAACGTCCTTTGCTCTTTTAAATACTTCAGTTAGTCTGGTCTTTAACTCCTGAGCATATTCCATGTGTAAAGCGGCACGTTTCTCGCCTTCAACTGGCTGGCTCCATAATATAGAGTTTACGATTCACGACGCGGCTAGAGAAGACGCGTTAGAAAGGCTTGGTAACTAGCGCGGCCAACGTGTCTTGTGTAATTCCAACGCGACGAAATTTTGATAAGACGACGAGGCTTGGACCGCGCTACAATCA